TTTTTTTCCAAGAAGGAATTTAAGTAATGTATACTCCAAACTCTATTTTACATCTCAAAATACTTTCTATAGCAATAGGGTCTTACTCAAAAAATTCTAGGGCTGGTGATGTCCTGTTAGCTCGGAAAGCTGAAGAGTTGAAGACTGTTGCAGCATCGATGATGTAACCACTGCTATTTCTGCTCTCCCAACATCGGTCAGTATTCCAAGGATTGTTGCATCGAATCCACGGTAATTCAGAGGAGAAAGAGATAAACATGTAGTACAATGTCCACGCTATAATGACGTTGTAATAGAAGGACACGTACCAAGAAACCAGAACGCAGCAATATCCAACACCTAAAAACATGAAAAAGAACTCAATTCTTTTACAACATATTTCGATTTTTGTTAAATTCTAGAAATCTATCATAAACTGCATGTCAATTTCTGCATTTGCCTGGGAGAGTATAGGATTAGGAAAATTACAGGAACATTACAATTAACGGATTAGGGAAATGATGATTTCCCTTCTTTTTATGATGTTTAGAATACACTTCCACTAGCAGATCCGTTTTAAAATATTATAAGATTAGAGTGTATGGAGAATAAGGATTAGCAACAAAGAGACCATTTTGCGGAAGCTTCCACTGATAGTGAAGATGTTCAAACTCAAACAAGTGTCCTGAGTAAAATCCATGAAAGTTGTCATAGTTAAAATACTTTTTGGCACATATTCAGCTTAGGTAGTAATTCCTAATTTGATACATGTTCAGTAGGTTAGTCATGATAGATGCATTGCATGTGAAAATTTAAAATTGTTAAGCTATGTAATTTAAAAGTAAAATTTCTGTAATTCTTATCAAATTTCGAAAAATTTTAGATATCTTGAAATTTCAAGAAAAAATATTTCTATTACAAAAATACCCTATATTTATCAACCTTTTGTCGAAAGCAACTGATCTATGAAGAATATTAAAAACATAATTTCAGAAACATGCAAACAAATGCGCCCAATGAAAGGTTAGTAATAATACACTTATTTGTTAAAAATAGTTACTTAGTAATATTTGAAAATTTATTTTTGTAAATTTCGCAAAAAAGGTTTTTTTCCAATATAAAAAACAACTAATGGCAACAACACGAAATATCGTTTTTTTGTGATTGAATTTAAAATCATACAATACCTTTAAACAAGGGACAGAACTTCCAAACGCTAATTGGACCTTGTCTGTGGTATTGTCCGAGTACCAATTCCATGTAAAATAAGGGCATAGCTCCGAAGACTAGCATTAATAAGTAAGGAATCAAGAAAACTCCTGAAAAAGAAAACAAAGGTGTGAGTAAAATTTTAAAGGAATTTAAAAGAACCGAGTCGTAAAATGAATTTAAACAGAATTTTTAAAGAGACCCCATTGTTTAGATAAATTGTGTCAATTGATAGACTTGTAAAAAAATGATGGCTATTTAATTGTTAAGATACCTGCACTTCATGTAAGACATTAAACAGAGATTTTTAAAAATTAAAATTCGCTACATGAATATTTAAATTTAGAAAGTGTGCAGTGCAAGAAGAGTGTACTTTTTTTTATCACCACTTCTAATAAAAACAAAAAATTTCTGCTATCATATTTGAAAAAGCTACATAGCCTTTTCAAAGAAAGCAATAGTTTTATCAGTAAATTTTAAGGAAAAAATATGGACATTTTGTTTTATCATTTATGAATAATTTATTAAAAATTATTAGTTTTTACAAATTATTCATATTATTACAAAAAATAAATTAATTCTATAGGCAATGTTTTGTTATGAACCTTTTTATACGCCTTGAGCTAAAAAAATTTTAAATTTTTTTTTTATTTTACAATATCTGGAATTCTGACATTTTATACTTCAAATTTCTTGGCCTTATTTATGTGAAATATTTAAAGTTATCAGCCAAAAGATATAATTTACTTTTATCTGACAATTAAAACATTACTTTGTATGACCGAATTAAAGACACACTACTGGCCATTGAAATTTCTACACCAAGAAGGCGACATGCTACAAACATGAAATTTAAACGACCAAGAAGAAGGCGCTGTGATATGCAAATGATTAGATTTTCAGCACATTCAGACAAAGCAGGCACCGGTAGCGACACCTACAATGTGTTTAAATAAGGAACTTGTTTCTCATACACAAATTGCATTTGAACGTTGTTGAATGGTGAAAAGTTGTTGTGATGCCTCATTTAAAAAGCAGAAATGCGTACCAGCACGTTTCTGACTTTGATAAAGGTCGAATTGTAACGTACCGGGTTTGTGGTTTATCGTATCGCAGTACTTCTTCTCGCATCGGTCGAGATCCAATGTCTGTTAGCAGAATATAGAATCGATGGGTTCAAGACGGTAATACGGAACGCCGTGCTGGATCTCAACGGCCCCCTATCACTAGCAGCTGAGAACACAGGCATGTTACCCGTATGACCTTAATGGATCGTGCAACCACGTCACGAGCTCTGAGACAAAAGTTGGGGTCGTTTGCAAGACAACGACGTACAGTTCGACGACGTTTGCAGCAGCATGGACTCTCAGCTCGGAGACCATTGGCTGCGGCCACCCTTGACGCTGCATCACAGACAGCATCAATCGTGTGATCAACGACGAACCTGGGTGCACAAATGGCGAGACGTCATTTTTTCAGATGAATCCAGGTTCTGTTTACAGCATCAAAATGGTCGCATCCGTGTTTGGTGGCATCGTGGTGAACGCACATTGGCAGCGTGCAGTCGTCATCGTCATACTGTCCATCACCTTTCGTGATGGTATGGAGTGCTATTGGATATACATCTCTGTCACCTCTTATTCGCATTGATGGTACTTTGAACAGTGCACGTTACATTTCTGGTGTGTTACGACTCGTGGCTGTACCCTTTATTCGAGCCCTGCGAAACCCTACGTTTCAGCAAGATAATGCACTAACGCGTGTTGCCGGTATTGTAAAGACCTTCTTTGATACGGAAAATGTTCGTCTGTTGCCCTGGCCTGCACGTTGACCAGATCTCTCGCCAATAGAAAACGTTTGCTCCATGGTTTCCGAGCGACTGTCTCGTCACCATACGCCTGTCACTACAGTTGATGAGCTGTGGCATCGTGTTGAAGCTGCATGGGCATCTGTATTTGTACATGCCATCCAATCTCTATTTGACTCTATTCCCAGGCGCATAAGTGCTGTTATTATTGCCAGAGGTGGTTGTTCTGGGTACTGATTTCTCAGGATCTATGCACCCAAATTTCTTGAACATTTAATCACTTGTTACTTCCAGTACAATATATTTGTCCAATAAATATCATTTTGTTATCTGTATTTCTTCCTGATGTAGTAATTTTAATGGCCAGTAGTGTACATTAAGGTAAATGAATAGTTACAATATGTCATTGAGTTATTGAAGCTCGTTCATGATCTAACCATCATTTTAACCCTTTATAAATAACAACACACATATTAAATAGGTAGTTTAAAAGTGTTAAATGGTTTTTAAAATGGTTTTAAAGTTTTAAAATAAGTTTAAAGCTAAAGGTTTTTTAAGTTAAGGTTTTAAGTTTAAAGGTGTTAAAGTTTTAAAAGGGTTTTTAAAGTTTGAAATATCATATTGACTGCAGAAAAATGAAACTAAATAAGCAAAAAAAAATTCACAAAACTGAAAATACTTTAAACTATTGTATAAAAATAATAAATTATTAATAACTTACCATATTGTATCTAATAGTAAGTCAGTAAAATATTCCCGTAAAAGACAGAAAAATGTATTCAAAATTTTTTTTTTCAGAAATTTTTAATGTTTGGAAAATAATTCACAAAAGATATTCTGCTCTTTTTTAAAATTTATTTTCGTTTGAGTTTTTCTGTAAGTCTCGAAACAGTTTTGTATATCATATTTGTCGAAGATTTTCTCATAATAGTGTATTTAACTTAATGTATTCCAGTGTATATAAATGTATTAAGTTCCACAATGCTATAGAATGTTATCTAAAATAAACAGCCAAAACTGAACGAATATCCTTTCCACTTTTAAGGGAAAAATTCATGACTATTATTAGAAAAGGAGATAATTATAAATTTCATTATTCGAGAAATGCAACTTCATAAAATGTAAGATATGATCTGTAAAAGTGCAAATGAAGATTTTTGAAAAAGAGTATGCAAAAATATCCTCCTTAATTATGTTTTTTAATCTGAAATTAATATCAAGCAGTTATTAAATATGATATCTCGTCATTCTAATTTTAATTAATGGTAGAAGATTCTAATTACTTTTAAAACGCATCTTTGCAGGATTATTCAATGTTTAAAAGCGTCTATAATCATTATAATTGAATATTTTAATATCTTGCAATAATCGGTATTACAAGATAACAAAAATAGAAAAAGCAGCTGCACAATATGGAAAGTATTTTTAAAAATTTTTATATTAGAAACATTACTTAAACGTGACTTGCCAATGATGGTTTTGCAGCAAATCTTATGCTTAAAAACTGGCTGATTCTGAATCTTTCGTAAGTGCTTTTGAATAGGATATTGTTTGTTTTATTTTAATGATGTAATATTTTAAATTGAAGATAACTAAATAATAGCATTCAATAATTTTTGAAATATTCTTGCATAAAAATAATAAAAACCTAAACGAAGCAGTTAACTCTGCGTAAAGAAGCATAATCCACAAGGAAGTTACGATTTTTCTTTAATCAATCCAATATGTTGTTGTTTCTTATCCCACTTGGCTGGCCAAGCCCACGAGCCCATACGTACTCGTGATTGAAGGGGAAGGAAGCAGCTTCTGTTGTGATGGAGCACCCGTAGGTAGAAGCCTGACTTTGGCTCCGTGACGCTCTTCTACAGTCATGGGAGACCGGGACGTACGGCTTAAAGTGGATTCCGAACCACTACAAACATCCATGGCGCCACCGGGACTCGAACCTGAAACCTGTGGGCCATTCAAGCCCCTAATTCAGTTGTGGGCCATTCAAGCCAGAGCGCACGCGGTGTTCCCAGGTGGTCACCCACCCAAGTACTGACCGCGCCCAATGATGCTTGACTTCGGTGATCTAACGAGAACCGGTATATTCAGCATGGTACGGCCGTTGCTTAATCCAATATGTTAAATAGATATCTAATAAAGTCATTTGATAATCTAAAAGCTTAGCATTACATTATGAATCTTTCTGATTATGAAAGGATTAACAACATCCAAAATCTTTGTTAAGGTAATGTCATATTAGTCTTTCAAATATTAAACAATGAATAAATTCTAGAATTCTAGTCACAATACTTTTTATTGTTCGAATTAGTTTAATAGTGTGAATATCTTATCCCTTCTGATACTTCGTGGACTTACGAACCAAATATTTCACGGTTGAATGGAAATTGGAATGAGATTTTATGCATACAAAAAAGATGCACTCTATACATAAAAATGGGATCCGTAGGAAATATTAGGAATCAACTTTACAAAAGTGACTGCCATCTCAAACTGTCAGAAATCAATTCTTTTGAAACCTGGTTTTCCATTAGAAATGCCGTCCATGCAACTTTCTAATCTTAAGAATAAGGTCGCTGCATCTCGCAAGTTTTCAATTTCTTCCTATTATCAAGAGCCTTCCGATATTTTCTGTCGGTATGAACGAAAGCGGATTGACAGTGAAGCCCACTGACATTCGTGAAATTTTTGCCTTCCGCTTCATAACTTTGAACTGTCTTTTTGGGATTTGAAGACCGTATGGGCTGAAATAATGAATTATATTGTGAGTCAGAGATAAAGCTATGAGTGAGTGACGTTTCAAGCAAGATATAAAGTATAAAATTTGACATCTAGGAATTATACAGTTTTTATGGAAAAAATATATTCAACTCAAGTTTCTGGCAATTTAAATTATTAAATTTTTATTTATTTAAAATTATTACATTTTTTTAATTTGAACTATATTTTATAACTTAAATAAAATGAAGTGCAAAAATTAAAAAAAATATATATGAAAACAATTTTTTGAACACTAGTAAGGAAAATATTAACAGTAATTTCTTCAAGAAACTATAGTAAATTAAATCATACTGGAGTATATTTGAATAAGATAAATAAATTTTAAAATTGTTAGCAATGACAAATCCTGATTGCTGTATGCCTTGACAGCCTAAATAAACTTTATGTCGCTTAACTAACTTTTGGATAATTCTATAATAATTGTAGTTAAGAGGAATTATTAACTCATTTAAATCGTCGAAATAACAAGCCCGAGCATCTGAACAGCATAACTAGGATCTAACATACGTTTCTCTTAAAAATATTTATGCTTAATTAAAATATTAAATTTCATCTATGTATTTCCAGTTTTAGAAGAATATACTAAAAATAATTATGTTCTGCAAAACAGCCAATAAATTATGAATATTTGTAACGTAAACTTTTGGTGTGCATTGAATTTTTTTTTGCATTCATTATTTTTGCATTGGTTGCAGTTTTTTTTTTGTATTAATTGCATTTTGCAGTATTTAGAAATTAATAATTTGTATTTTACCCAAAATATCGGAAGATAACAGATCATTTCAGATAAGAGTAGTTGTAAAATAAGTTTTAGTGAAATACTAAGATCACAAATGGGAGAAAAAGAGTAAGAAATCTAAGAGAATAATGACGATTAAAGAAGAAAGAAGAAAGATAATGGCTTAGAAAAATAAAATAAAAACAAAATAGTGCATCGATGTGGAAAATGTGCAAAAATGTGTTTTTCAGGTATCTTATCATAGCATCAGTTGTGGACTAATTTATATATGCTGTTCTTCATGGTGCTATTACGTAGACTGGCCATTTATTATAAAATAAATTTCTTGAAGTACGTATAAGTGTGTAGATCTTAAGCTAAAATAAATAAGATGCAAACTTCGCTGCTTGAATAAAATCCCTTTCTTTCTACATTTTACAATTGTATATATCTTTTGAATTTTGTTCATTTTCCCATACCTACTAAAAACATTGATCTAATACGTTATAATAATTCTTTATGATATACTATAAAAGAAAACAATTGAAAGCGACATTATACACTGAAGTGACAAAAGTCATGGGATACCTCTTAATATCGTGTCAGCCCTCCTTTCGCCCGGCGAAGTGCAGCAACTCGACGTGGCATGGACTCAACAAGTCGTTGGAAGTCTTCTGCAGGAATATTGAGCCATGCTGTTGCGATAAACGTCCATAATTGTGAAAGCGTTGATGGTGCAGGATTTTGTGCACGAACAGACCTCTCGATGATGTCCCATAAAAGCTCGATGGGATTCATGTCGGGCGATCTAGGTGGCCAGATCATTCGTTGGAATTGTCCAGAATGTTCTTCAAACCAATGGCGAATAGTTGTGGCCCGGTGACATGGCGCATTGTCATCCATAAAAGTCCCATCGTTGTTTGGGTACATGAAGTCCATGAATGGCTGCAAGTGATCTCCAAGTAGCTGAACATAAGCATTTCCAGTCAATGTTCGGTCCAGTCGCACCAGAGGACCATGAAAAAATGCCATGAAAAAATGCCATGCCATGAAAAAACAGCCCACACCATTACGGAGTCACCACCAGCTTGAACAGTGCCTTGCCGACAGTTTGGGTCCATGGCTTCGTGGGGTCTACGCCACACTCGAACTCTACCATCAGCTCTTACCAACTGAAATCGTGACTCATCGGACCAGGCCACGGTTTTCCATTCATCTAGGGACCAACCGATATGCTCACGTGCCCACGAGAGTGGCTGCAAGCGATGTCGTTCTGTCAGTAAAGGCACTCGAGTCGGTCTTCTGCTGGAATAGCCCAAGAAAGCCAAATTTCTCCTCACAGCTCTAACAGACTGCGGTTATTTGACGCAGTGTTGCTTGTCTGTTAGAATTTACGACTCTTTGCAGACGTCGCCGGTCTCGATCGTTAAGTGCAGGCGGTCGACCACTGCGCTGTCCATGGTGGGATGTTATGCCTGAAATTTCGTACTCTCGGCACACTCTTGACACAGTGGATCTGGGAATGTTGAATTCCCTAACGATTTCCGAAATTGCATGACCCATGCGTCTAGCTCCAACTAACATTCCGCGTTCAAAATCTGTTAATTCCCGTCGTGCGGTCATCATCACGTCAAAACCTCTTCACATGAATAACTTGAATAGAAATGAATGCTCTGCGAAAGCACTGCGCATTTATACCTGTTCTACGCGATGCTACTGCCATCTGAAAATTTGAATATTGCTATCCCATGACTTTTGTCACTTCAGTGTATGGCGAGAGTATAATTCTATGAACATATTTAACAAAGGTTTAAAATGCTATAAAGCAAATTGACTCTTCGCAACCGTCAGACATCTCTCATTGACTAAACTCAGAATCATTATGTAGTATACAGTTTTTTGTTATAATCATACGCTTACAGTACTGTTATTGTATTCGGGTTAGCTGCTTTATCACAATTTACACAATTGCTCTTAAGAAGAAAAAAAAATAGGATACGAATAAAAAGATCGTCAGATATTCAGTAGAGTTTGGCTGCTTCCAAAAGTGTTAAAAAGGAAGCACCGAAATGGGGTGTTGTGCAGAACTTCAGTAACTAAATAATACAAAAAAGTTAACACGCACACATACACAAAAAAAAACACCGTAATTTTTTTTAGGAAATTAATTGTTGTTATAGTTTCGTAATAAGGTTCATCGCTCATATTAAATAACCAAGAATTGGATAGGACTTTGTATCCAAAAGACTATTTCAGTTTTCCTCTTTGTATGTCATATTTAATGTATTGAAATAAAATGTGTTTCTCCCTTTCCCTGTTTATTGTAATTTAAACATAGTTGAAAAGATGTTAATCCAAATCTATTGCGTCTAACTTTAGAAGGACAGGTCTTGGTGCGAAAGTAGTGCTTCTTTTCGATTGACAGGGAATAGAGAAAATGATTGCTTTGTCATCTCATCAGGAAACAGGATTGCCATCGGTTTCTAAGGATTCCTTTTGCTTTTGAAGTTTTGCTTTGTTTATTCCATTACAGTAATATATAAGTTTCTATATCAATTTTTTACAGCGATTTTTTGAAATTAATTAAAATTTTTGATGAAATCATCTTTTAAATCAAACGCTTCAGCAAAATTTTTTTAATTCTTCAACTAATGAAAAGTTTTAATAAGTAAATTTTATTGGTTGAATAAAATCACTTTCTTTCTTCTTTGTATGTATAATAACACAATATTCTGAATTTTGTTTGCTCTCACTGATCCCTTGATAAAATTACTCTTCGAAGTTTTAATGTTTTTTCATGGCATAAAAAACAGACAATACCTAACCAAATGTAACTAAAATTAACAGCAGCTGAAGCACGACTATATTGAGAAACATATTTATTATTAACAGCTCTCGTAATTGTAATGTAATAGTGAATATACAATAAATATAACTGCAATATTTCATATATTTTAAGCTGGGTAAAAGTTTGCTGCATTTAATAACTTAAACAAATTTGTATACTAAGATATTCAAAACAAACCTTTTGGTTTAAATAAATTCAAGTTTGAAGTTAATTTAATTAAAAGCTCTTTAACTTTAGATGAAATGAAGGTTCATTAAATTATTCATTTAAGCCATCCCATACATAACATCATGTTATATATTTGCCAATTAAAAAACAAACTCTTATAACCAGAGGTGGTAAATTGGAGTCGGTTTAAAAATCCGACTACCTAAACCTTCATACAAATAATTTTAATCCAATTTCTTCAAACTATGTTTTTTTTAAAAGAATTCTATGCATTTTCTTATTTGATTCATGCAAAAGAACCTCTTTTGTAAACTTCAATATTTGGGTTCTATTCCAGTTCTAATGGAACTGACATCGTGATCTTTTGCAAATCCTTTCTCGATCCCTATTAACCTTAAAAGGTTGAAGGCATTTGATTTCTCTACTTACCCCCACCGTTCCGGTAACAGAGGTACGGGAATCTCCACACGTTAGCCAAATCAACAGCAAATCCGATAATAGAAAGGAGGAAATCGGCTTTCTTGCTCCAGGTCGGTCTTTCTTCCGGATTCTCACTTCCTCCGTTAACTGGGTCCTGGGACAAGGCGATG